GGCTGTCCAGTGCTTAGCTCCCAGTGCAGTCATCCTAGCCGCTACTGTTGCTAGACTGGAAGTGTCTGGAGGCCAGGGGTCCAGCTCAGCGGTATCCCCAGCTCTTGGCACAAAACCGCGCCGGAAGACTCCATCCAAGCTCACTGAATAAAGTCAAAGTTAAAAATGTGGTAACTGACTGCCTGCCGCTGGCCTGCAAACCACGCATTTATCAACACCGCCACCTGGACCCCAGGAGCCAAGGGCCCACGGAGGCTGACCACACACACAAAGGATATTTCTTCCAATGATCTGGTCGGACATGGTCTGAAATTTATCTTGCATCTGCTGCAGGAGTGTCTGCACCTGAGGAACAGGAAGACCGACCCCCTCGCGCTCACCCTGGGACACCTGCTTGGGGTCGGGGCGGGGGCCCTGGTCCCGTCCCTCCGGGGGCCCTGGGCAGCTCTGAGGCCTTCGGCGGGCGCTGTCCTCCACCCCCTCCCTAGCCCCCGAGCTTCGGTCCCCCGCCCGCCCCATGACCCCGACTGGCTGGCGAGACCCCCTCCCGCCGCGGCCGCAGCGGTTCGCTGGGTCTTTCGCGGAGGCCTCGGGGTGTTGAGGGGAGCGGGGGGTGCTGGGGGTGCGGGGAGCGGGGGCTCCGGTCAGGCGGGTGGGGCTGGGGGGAGGGCACGCTGGGCCTGGGGGGGCCTCCGCCGGCGGAGCCGCTGCAAACCCGGCCTCCGGGGACCTGGCGCTTCGCGGCTGCCGAAGGGCGCCTCGGTCCGGCGGCTCCGCGACCTCGGGCCCGGCTGGGCGTCCCTTACCACGGAGGTGAGATCCTGCACGGTCTTAGGGTCAGTCTCGGCCATCTCCCCGGTTCCCAGCTTGGCGGCGAAGGATCAACCGTCACCCACACTTCCGTTTGTCCGCGCACACGCACCGCCCCCAGCGCCGCCTCTCGCGACGACGGAGGCAGCCGCGGGACCGCGGGGCGTTGTGGGAGTCGTAGTTGGCGGCACGCGCCGGAAGCGCCTGCGCTCTCGCGTTTCCGTTCCGAGCGAGGCCTCGTCCCCTCTCGCCAGGCCCGGCCCCTCTCGCCCGGCCCGGCCCCGCCCCAAGAGGCCCCGCCCCCAGGAGGCCCCGCCCCGCTCCCCCAGTTCCTCGAGCCGGGGCGGAGAAAAAGGGCTCCAGGGCCGCAGTGGGAGCCGCTGGAAGGGGTGGTGACCTTGGTCCTTTCCCAGGTCGCGATTGAAGGTCGCGCTGGTTTTGTCTAGGCCGGGGCGGACGCCTTTACTACGCGCCTGCGAGGTGCCAAGCCCAGGCCTGTGCCACCGCCTGTCCTCCAGCAGAGCCCCGCAAGCCCCTAGTACGGAGAAAGGGGTCGGGTCGCTGGAGGGGAAACCGAGGACCGGTGGTGGGAGACTCCACCCACCACGCGCCCAGCTGCCCAGCTGCAGGCCTGATCACAGCCCTGACGGCCCTGTTCCCCCTTCCCCCCAGACGGTTGAGTGGGGGTGCTGGCGCGGTGGGGCAGGGGGTGTTTAACTCTTGATTTCAGTGTAACAGACGTGCTGGGTGGTGTAGAAATCCTGTGTCCTTTCGTGAAGTCCGCACGGGTTCACCAACCCCGCCTTACGAAACGCTCCTCAGCCCCTTTCCTATCACCCCCCCCACCGCGCAACCGCCCTCGAGGTTGCTCAAGGGGAGGTCGGCGGCAGGGTCCAGAGGCTGGGTATGGGTCTTTAAGGAGGGGGTTGCTGCTGAGTTGGGACCTCGAGCTGTGGGGTTCAGTGTGCCCACGCATTGCAGGATGCTGAATGACTTCTCTGACTTCTACCCACTAGATGCCAGTAGCACTCCCCCCTCAGACCTCAATGTGACAACCAAAGATACTGCCCTGTGTCTCCAGGGGCGGGGTGGGGGTCACCCTCAGCTGAGAACCAGTAGCTTGAGAAAGATCTATGGCCATTGCCTAGAATCCTGTTGACTCGATCTTCAAGTATGAATTTATTTTCGACTGGGGCCTTGCTTGAGAATTTTCCTCCCTATATATTGACCTTGGCATTCGTTTCTTGGGGAGGCTATGACAAAGTACGACGAACTGGGTGGCTTCAAACAAGACATTTATATTCCCACAGCTCAGGAGACGAGGAGTCTGAAATCAAGGGGCCAAAAGACTTGGTTCCTTTTGAGGGCTGCAAGGGACAAATCTGTTCCGCACCTCTCTCCTAGCCTCTGGGGGCTGCTGGCAAATCTTGGCATTCCCTAGCTTGTAGACGCATCCCACCCCTCCGGGCCTCTGTCTTCGTGTGGCTTAGTCCCTGTATCTCTCTTTCCCTATAAGGTCACCAGTCCTATTGGATTTACCAACCCGACTCCAGTATGACCTCCCCTTGACTTTGTGTATCTGCAGAGACCCCGTTTCCAAGTAAGTTACATTCTGAGGTACTAGGGGTTAGGATTTCAACATGTCTTTTTTGGGGGGAGGGGACCCAATTTAACCCAAAGTAGTTGGTAAAGTAATACCCCTTGATGAAGTGTTTACACAAAGCTCCGGGATGATTTTGCTCATGAGTAGCCAAGGCTGGGTGGGGTTTCAGGCCTTCTCGCTTCTTGCCCCCAACACAGGGACTCCCATACTCCGCTTAGAAGTCTGGATCCGCATACCCTGAATTTGTAGCCAGACCCGGTTTACGGCCGTGAGCAACATAGAACACAAATCAGCACTAGGACCTATAGTTTTGTTTTGGTTTAGGGTGTGTGTGTTTCTGGCGGGGTTCTTGAGTCCTTTTTATCCCGATTGCAAAGTTCTTGGGGCACCTGCGTGGCTAAGTCCGTTAAGCGTGTGCCTTTGGCTCAGGTCATGAGCCCGGGGTCCTGGGATGGGGCCCTGCGGTGGGAGCCTGCTTCTCCCTCACCCTCTGCCCCTCCCTCTGCTCATGTTCTCTCTCTCAAATAAATAAATAAAATCTTTTAAAAAAAAAGTTGTTTGACACTATTTAGTGGAGGCTCCCCGCTCCCCTCCACACTTAAGCAGAAAGAGTGTACTTCTTCTGTGTGAAGACCAAGGTCTTTTAAACAGCTGCTTTACACAAAAATTTCACTGACTTATAGTCATGGCTGATATAACTTTGTAAGGTTGACACGCTGAACTTAACTGAATATTGTTCCATTAGCAAAACTATTGAATCATGTGTAAGGCACTAGCAATTAACCTTTAAAATGTCAGTTTTGAACAACCCTTGTTTTAAACCTTAGCACTTTTTTTTTTTCAAGATCTTTCTAGATCAGTTGTGTAACCGAAGTAATTCCCTTTACCCCTTTCAGGATTGTGTGGTTTTACGTGAGCTAACGTGATACTTTCATACTGGCTCTTTGGTTCCAGCTGAGCGGTCTCCGCACCCCTCCCTCGGCCACTCAGGGACGCGCCCCTGCCCACCGGTGTGGTAGTGGTGGGGGGCAGTGGGGATGCTGCGTGTGCCGGGTAAGCAGAGAAGCAGCAGTCACCGCAGGCGCGTGTAGAACCTGTAACTCGTCTTTCCCAGGCTGCACCTGCATCAGCATCGTTGTGACCCGACGCTGGTCTCAGCTGCCCTTCTCCTGCTCTGCTTGTCTCCCCAGTGGCTGGATGCCGCTGCTGAAGGACAACCCCCTGCCACATTCCCCCGCCTTCCGCGGATGGCCCAAACCTCCCCGGTCTCTCCAAACCCAGTGTTTCATCCCTTCTGTCTCAAAGGATGACCTTAACTTGTGTTTTTCAGAGACAATAGAGACTATCGTCACCTAGGTCCTACCCTCCCTGTCTCTATAAGGACCTGCACCTGTGTGACTCTGGTCCTTTCTGCCTCCACACCGGTGTCCTTCCTCCTGTGTGGGGCTGGGCCCTGGACATCTCAACCCACTCTGGGAATGTGCCTCTTCCACTCACCAGTCCCTTCCCGTGGACTCCTTCCTCCGGGCATATACAAGTGGTACAGAAAACAACACACACACACACAAATAGAAAACAAAACCATCCCAATGAGGTGACCCTGTGTGGTTCTGTGCTTCCACTCAATAGAGCGTAGAAAGGATTCTAGAAAGAGAAGGTTCTAGAAAGAGAAGATTCTAGAAGGGGAAGGACCTGTCTTCTTCAGTTACTGGATCTGCAACCTTCCCTTCATACAGTTTTGCTTGTTTGGTTTCTATCAAAGGGCACCGAAGTGATTCTGGACAGTATGAGGATGTGGCCCCACCCAAGTGAGACTCACGCAACCGATGTCTCTTTGTTCCTCTCTGCGACCGGTGCAGCGTCTCCTTTGGGTCTTACTGAGTCTGAGTCCTTGCTCGTCCTTGTTCACGTCTCCTTTTAACACAGGGCAGCCTCCTGCCTGGACCTTAGGTAGACATACTGTCTAGCTAAAAGGTAATCCCCTTTTTGGTTTTCCTTGTATTTATTTCATTTTATTATTTCTTAAAACAACTTTATTGAGGCATGAGTGCCATGTGAAGAGCTGTACATATGTAATGCATTCAACTCAGCGAGTTTGGGGATAAGGATACACCCCCGAAACCATCACCATCGTGCTCATGGACATACCCATCATCTCCCACAGTCTCCTCCTGCCGCCTTTATTATGAGTGATTCTTATTTGTGTGGTAGGAATCTATACATAAGTTCAGCAAATTTTAGGTATGTAACCCAGTACTGTCAGTGATAGGCGCTGTTCCGTACAGTGGATCTTCTGCATATCTGAAACTTTGTTCCCGATGACCAACATCTGCCCATGTCCCCCACGCCCTGTCCCTGGCAACCACCGTTCTACTCTCTGCATCTATGAATTGGACCATTTTAGATTCCATATGTAAGTGAGATCATGTATTATTCGTCTTTCTGTGTCTGGCTTGTTTCATGGAGCATAACGCCCTCCGGGTCCCACCGTATAGCCACAAATGGCAGGACTTCCTTCTTTTAGAAGTCAGAATCGCAGTCCATTGCACATATACAGCGCGTGATTTTTACCCACTTTCCCCTCGATGCACACCTAGCTTGTTTCCACGCTGCTCGTGTGTAGTCTGCAGTGAACGCTCCAAGATCCTGATTTCAACTTCCTTGGGTAAGTACCCAGAAGCGGGATTGCTGGAGAACGTATTAGTTCCAGTTTTCATTTGTGGAGTGCTCTCCCTCTGTGAGCAGGACTGTGGATGGAGACCGTATGCCAGGCAGCAGGATCTGTGACCCGTTGTTAAGATCCATTGGTGCTATAAAGCTCTCCCCTCCACCACCCCCTTCTCTCTGTTCCTAGCTGTCCCCTGCCTATTCAGTAGTGCCCATCCCCCCTGCCATGTTCTTGGCTGTGGACCAGGAGATCTCTCTGGGCCCTGAGCTATGCTGCCTTGGAGGTGGGGTGAGCTGACACTTTTTTTTTTTTAACCACTTCAATGCATCTCTCCTCTGGCTTTTTTGCTCCACGGAAATATTGTAACATTTCAGGTATGTTTCTGGGCTCCCCAAAATATGTTCTCATCTGTGGGTGCTTGTTAAAATTGGTGTTTCTGTAGTAGGGAAATGGGGGGGTGGGGTCGAGTAGGGGGGACATATAGGGACCGGACCTCTCTATTCTGCCATTTTCCTTTGTATTTATTTTGATTGTTACTTTAAGCGTACCCCAAGTGACCCTGGCTTTTCGTTCACAGTAGTAATACATTTTTCTTTGAAAATATATTCATTTCAGCAAAAATGATAAATTTGAAATTATATCATAGAAAACTGTAGTGGTAATTGGTAATATGGAGGCACTGGGAGGGCGGAATTTGCAGAGGTGCTAGAGGAACACTGTGAAATCATGAAGATCTTCTTATAGGATTAAAGTTTAGAAAATTCTGACCTAAGCGAAGACAGGGAAGCAGAGGGTAAAGTGGTACTTGCTTTAAAATCACACGTCGTTCTGTATTGGCGAAGGGGAAGCATTAAGGAAATGTTGCCGAGCCACTGTAACGAGTCACTTTTCTTGCGGAGAAATCCTGGAAAGGAGAGTTGGGAATTTTCTGCAGGCGCCGGATATCTCCTGTACAGAAGCAGCATTCAAAGCACCGGTCATTCTTCCGCGGGTGCAGGGAGGGGGCTGGGCAGGGTCTTCAGGATCTACCTTGCCCCGGTAGGGCTCTGTTTCGAAGAGAGCTCTGGCAAATTTCCTTTAAAAATGCTTCTGTCCTGGTACCAGTCCTCCTGGCTTGGATTCCCATGTGAGAAGCAAGTTTTGCTGTCTTCTCTGGAGTGTGCCCTGGGTAGCGTCACTGGATTCCTTGTCTTGTGTACAAGAGCAGGGGAGGCTTTTTGAGGCTATGCTTAGAAAAGGACAGAAAATTGCTTTTCTGGAGAAGAATGGAGAGATCAGCGGTCCCGTTCCATCTTGAGTTGCTTTCCTTTTGGTTTGAAGTGTCGGGTTACGTTTCTTATGCTTATTTGTGGCAAATTAGCGTCTCCGTGATGGGCTACCAAGGAATCAGTTTCCTATTTATTTCCCCAAACTGGCAATTTCCTGGAGACGGAGGCCCCGGGCAGGAAGGAAATGTTTCCGAGAGTCTGACACGCACGTTTGGTTTTCTTCTGCTTCACTGACGCTGTCCTGTCGGATTGGCTCGTCTTGTCGCTGTCAAGTTCGTGTGTTGTGTGCGAGAGGATACAACCTCGGGGTTAGGGTAGATCGGAAAGTGCTGGTGTGGGAGTCACGTGCACCCCTTCTAGGGGACACCTAGCACGAGACAGTTTTCACTTGTGAGCCTCGCTGTCACATCGGTGCACTGGAAATACTGGCTATTCCAATATTCCATGAATTAAATACCTGACCTATGTAATGCATAATTATATTTCATATAAATAACATGTTATGAATAATGTAGTATGTATATACATTCATAAACATGTAAAATATCTGGTTCATTATTAATGATTAACACCCTTCCTCTCTTTTGTTAAGGACCTCCCTAAAGTTATCTTGCTCTCTATTTCTATCTTTCATCTATCATTCTGTCATCTGTCCTTTATCTATCATCTGTCTACCTATTATCAATCTATTTACATACCTATCTATTCTCTGTCATCTATCAATCATTTATCTGTCAATCATCTCTCTACCTATTATGTATCTGTCTACCTACCTATTATCTATCATCTATCAATGATCTACAATCTATCTACCTATTGTCAATCTATCTACATACCTATCTATTATCTGTCATCTATCAATGTATCATCTATCTATATCTATCATCTATTTACCTATTATGTATCTATCTACCTACCTATTATCTATCATCTATCTACTATTAGCTAGCTAGCTAGCTAGTTAGCTAGCTAGCTATCATCTATCTGTTTCTCTCACACCAGAGGGCTCTGACTGTTATGAAGGAAGAATGGGGCAGAGTTAATCATCAGTCAGGCTATCACTTGGTTTTAGTCTCGGTCTTCCAACATTATAGGCCAACCAGAGCGCCATTTAAAACAATGTCCCTTGGCTCTCTCGCTGCGTTGAAATGGTACGGAAGACGGCCTAAGGCCAAGTACACACATTAAGAATCTCAGATAACCTTTATTTAAATATTTCATAAACAAGTTACAAGTTTCTTTGCAAAAACGTTGTAGATCAGACATTAATTTACAGCTCAGGTACTGTAAACAGTTCAGCAACTCGGGCCCAAAGGAACTGCATCCGCGATAGGATAGGAAATATTTTAAGATGCTAAACTTTCATCCCTTTTGAGTGTTTACAAAAAAAGATTTCTTTACACTTTCTGAAATTTACCACCCCACCAGTGTCGATGTGTGCACGACCGCACACTCTTTTTCCTAGAGCCTTCGCTTTCCACTCTTTAAAAATCTGAATCCGCATATATTGTAGATAATGAATGGCTTTCTTGCTTTCTAAAAGAAAAGCTTTTAAAAAAGCAGCAGAAAATGGAAGTTTTCAGCATATGCTCCCAGTGTTTTCAAGAGATACTTTCTCAAAGGCTTCATAGGTTCATGGTGGCATTTTCTGTGGTCTCCTACACCTGTTGCTTCTCACTGTATCCTTACCAGCCAGCTGCCGCTTGGAAGCCAAACAAAATGGTTCAAAGTCTTCCTCAAGCTCAACGACACCAGTGATCATTAATGTTATGAGAGTGATGTTGCGTGAGCGACAGGAAGAGGTTCCTTTCCTTTCTGAAGTTGATGAGTATCTAAATTATCTCCGCTTAATTTAGACAGTTGAAGTTCTTACCAGAACTCGTGATTTGCAGCTTCAATCCCACCACTTTCTTCTATCTCTAGCTGTTCTGCATGTGCTTTTACATAAGGGTCAGAACTACAGAATTTTTTTCGGCCTTGGGCTAATCCATCAGTGATGGGAGACATGGTAAAGGTGAACACACGTGGCACAGCAAAAGAACCGCTAGGTGCTTTAGATGAACCATTATGAACGCGTCTTACCACCCGATTATGAGTCGTTCCCAATTTCAGTATCCACATAAGGAGAGAAGACGGGAGGTACCATCTTTGTGAAAAGTGTACCCAGATCACTGTTGATGATGGCGACCGTGACAGTTTTATCGTTATTTCTTAGTGGTTAGACACAGAAGGTAGTTCACTCTTTCTCAGGGCTCACCTTCCCCTTGGTGTGATTTACCTGTCGGTTCAGGTTCAGGTGCAACGTTGAAAACCTCCGAAGTGCTTGGAGATCCTTTATTTGTCTGTCGCTGAGCCCACAGCAGGCTCCTGAGAGCCCCATGCTGCTTCTCCCTGAGCTTTCCCTCCCCTGGGTTGGCTTGGCCGAGACTGGGTCCTTGGGAGGGCATGAACGTGCTTTCGCACACCTGAGACAGCTAATCAGTGTGATAGGATTCCCCCAGGCACCTGTGCACAAGCCATGGGAGGAAAGGGAGGAAATACCGGACATGATCTTGTCCGGGAGACACTTCTGAGGTTTAGTGTGAACTGAGAATGGTGTTAATGGTTCTTGACAGCTCTTAGAACTAAGGAATAGTAGAAGGTCTGTTAACTCAGTTTGGGTAGATTGTCCTGCTAAGGGAGGCTTCAGACGAGGGTTTTGTGGTCTTCAGGAGACATTCTGTCTGGTTCGGCTACGCCATTGGGAGGGACACCGTGTTAAGTAGAAACAACAGAGCCCTGCAGTCAAACCACGTGGCTTTTGGAGGTCACTTACCTGGGGCAAGCCGTTTGATTTTCCTGAGTGTCCACTGTCCTTATCTCTAAGTTGGAGAAGATATGAGTCCTTGCCTCATAATGTTGTTGTAATGGGTCAGTGGGTTAACAGGTGTGTAAAGGATTTTGTACAGCTGGATGCATGGTCCTCAATCAATAAATGTAAACACTTATTATTATTATTAGCATTATTAATGCATATATATTTTTTTACCTTGTTCATACACCCCAGGAGAACTGCAAACTCTTTCCTTCAGAACCAACCTGGAGAGCTCAGGTGCGGGTCCAGCTGCACTAAACCCATCATCAAACATAGCCTTGTTAATCACGTCAAAGTTGCCACCTATTAAGATCAAGACCTCTGTATTTATTCTGGGTGAAATGCAATGTGATTTACCTCGAGAATTTGCTGGTAAAGGGTCACTCCATTTGTCAGACTGTTTAGAATCCCATTTTGGAAATCTGGGATGTTATCAAAATTTCTAAAAATGGTCCTTGAGAATCCGAGTCCTGTCTGACACCCACCATGAAATGGAGCCAGACTGATTTTGCTCTCCAGCTCAGATTTGCAGGAGTTGGCTGAGAGTCACCTGAAATGACGTCCCTTTGGAGGAAGGGGTGGTACTGAAGGTCACCTTTTCTGAAATTGGAAAATGTTTGCATGTTTTTGCTAAAACAAATGATCAGAAATAATTTCTTGTGTGTAAAATGGAAAGAAAAAGTAATTTTTAATCAACTCAGGTGATTGATGTGTTTATAGTGAAGAAGGTGTGACCACTCGCTCAGTGGAAATAAAATTCTCAGTTTTGTGCTCAGCAATGGAGAAAAGCAATTTCTGGCTCTTAATGTTTTTCCCCCAATAACTTGGAGTAAAAGAAAATGCATTGGTAAATAATGAAATAATGCTTTGATTCTATGTTTGCTTTCAATAAACAATGTAAATGTGTCCGAGCAAGTTAGAAAATATTCGGTAGTTGAGGAAATGCCACCACTTTGGTTTCAAAGAATTGGTTGTTGTTGTTTTTTTTTTTTTTTGAAAGGATCAGCAAGAAATACACAATAGCAGTATCTCTGTCCTGATGAGAACCCTATGGACGGGAGCATCCTTAAGTGGGTGAAAATTACGGCAGACACTATTTACTGATGCACTCTGTGCTCATTCTTATTTTTCTGTGCTCTCAGCTAAGTTAAGCTGGCGGCTTGATGTGCAAAGTATGGGAGGGCCTACTGGCTTGAGGGACAAGGAGTCTTGCACTTGCTAACTGGAGGGGATGGCCTTCTTGACACCTTGGTTTCCGATTGTTGGATCGCCTGCCTATGGGCCCCGCTGCTGAGCAACCTATAAAGCCGGAAGAGGAAGTCTCATAGCGTGTGAGTGTGCAGGCTTGGACCTCCCCTCTTCCCCCGGGCCTGCTCTGTGCACGGGTGAAGGACCAATCTGTCGTGTTCGAGATGTGGAATCTCCTGACTGAGCCACTGGACTTGTTCAAGAGAGATATACCCACGCTCTGGGACCGTGGGCCTTGCAGTCACTGACCTGAGGATGATCTCGCCCCTCTGTGAGGATAGCCATTGTCTTCACGGCCGACTGCAGAATGCTCGGAATTGTTCATCATGATGGCCGAGACAGGTGCATGGGCCCAGCTGTGAGTGGGGACTTCTGGCTTTATAGAGTCCCTCAACCAACAGGAGATGTACAGGGGACCCCGGATGACTGGTCCAAACAGTGAACTTGCACTAAGGCAAGACCTCGCACCGGCAACACGAGACACACATAGAAATCAGAGAAGAGCTACTGTCCAGCCGTTTTAACCACCAATACCCATTTATTTTAATGGAAAAAAAAATCTGCCATTCTATATGCTCCAAAAAGACTTACTATTGAAACAAATACAATATATGGAACTCTATCTGCATAATTTCACTACGATAAAGACAACATAGGACTCCTACTTCCTACAGAAGGCGAACTGAATGCATGGGTGCAAACAGAGATTGCATAAGAAAGCGTGGGTGTGCGTGTGCGCGCGCACATGCGTGTGCGCGTGGGGTTAAAACCTTTAGTAAGCAACCGCATCGAAATACGCTAAGACACTTACCTTACCCTAGTGCGTGGCCAGCTCTAAGAAAAAGCCACAGGCTGTCGCTAGTTTTATCTGATAGAAAAATTTGGTGTGAGCTCGGATGGTTCTTTACAGGGTATCCACAAGAACGTAATCTTAGTACAGCACGGACTTTCCTCTCTGACATGCTCACAGAATAAAAATCAATTACTTTTCATACATAATGAACATCTTTTATTTTCAGGTTTGCAAACAACGGTAGTCGATTCACACAAAAGGGTACTTTTAAAACTACCTGTATTTACTCTATTTGATGCCTTTTATGTATATAGGAATCAAACGTGTATGTGCAGAAAGGGATGTCTATACATGTGGGCATATATGTGTACACACGTGACACCTGTCGATTTCCTTCTATGCAGGTAGGGCCTCCACGATGACATCTGCAAATGTACAGACACTAGGGAGAGAGATTATTCTGTGCTACGATCCGCATCCTCGTGAGAACCGGTGGGACTGGATTCGGGACACCTACAAATGCAGAGAGTGCCCCTTTCTTGGCATTTGATGGTTAGACTTGCTGCTCTGCTCCTCTCCGCTTTTGCTCACGATCATGGCATGGGGTGGCAGTGAAAACGGGTCGTAGTCCTTTACTAGAGAGGAAGGACTTGGGTCTCTGCTCTCCCTCTCTGTGGACCTGCCTGGCAGGGGGGTGGTGGCACGTGGACCCCCGTGGACGGTGGAGGAGTGTCAGCTCTGTGGTCTGGGCTAGTGCCTCACTTGGGCCCGCGGCCCTGGAGGGGACAGGTGCATCGCTTCTATTCTTTCTCTGTGTAACCTCTCAAGGAAGAATGACATATCAAAACTAGGCTCCTTCTGTAGCATTTCTCTCTATAAATACTGTGTATATACACATACAGGTACTCACACATATACAAATACGAACCCACAAAGCTGTGTGTGTGACGTGCTGACTAGCGACATGGCAACACATCAGAAAAAGTAGTCATTGTCCCTGCTCCCAGAAGGTCAAGTCATATGCCGTGATCTTTAAACAGCCAGGGAAAATTCAGAAGATTCCATTAATTAAAGGAGAAATGGTGAAGGACAGAGCCGGTGAAATCGCAAAGAAAACAAAAATCTGGAACAATTGAGGCCTAGGTGTGACGTTTGAGAGCTGTAAACTGCAATCTTCAGATTTGGATTTTTTTTTTCTTTTTCCTGTTGCTATGGAAACTTGGTAGTCAAGCTTCGAATGTCAGGAGTTCTCACAGACCTGAATGGGAAAGATTCAGAGTTAAGTCAAGGCATAGCACAGCTTGGATGCAAAGCGTTTTAGCTAAGCACCAGACGAATGGCAGACACGCGGTCATAAACACGTTTATAAATACGGCACTACCTGGGGGAATTTTTTTCCTCTTTGGCATAACATTTGAAGAGAGCGTGAATAGTCAAGCCGGTTTATGTCTAAACAGCTGGACTGATATAAAAACGCTCATGCCAGACACCTCCTCTTAGACCCAGAGGGCCGACTGCCTCTGTGAGCCCTGTCCCTTGCACAGTAGCCCAGAATGCGGCTGTTTTAGGGACAAGTTGACTTGGTAGCTGAGAAACTGATTAGCATCCTGGATGTTATTTTTTTGGTCACAGGGGAGAGCGAGAGAGGTTTGGGTGGTTCTTCAGAGAAGATGTATGAGTTTCCTCTGGCTGCTGTAACAAACGGCCGCGAGCTTAGTGGTTGGAAATAACAAAGCTTATTCTCTCAGAGTTCTGGAGGTCGGAAGTCCAAAAATGGGTCCTATGAGGGCTAGAGTTGAGGTGCTGGAGGAGCTGTGTTCCTTTTGGGGGCCCCAGTGGGGAAGCCACTTCTGTGTCTTTTCCAGCTTCCAGAAGCCGCCTGTATTTGTCTCATGACCCCTTCCTCCACTTCCATGGCTTGGACTGTCTCGTCCAAGATTAATGAGGTCACCAAAACTGTGCTTATTCTCTAAGATGTATAGCAGCCCTGCATCTCCCCTCTGCTGGATAATAGCATGAGTGGGAATCTGCTCTTTTTGCTTAATTATTATTGTTATATCTTGGCTTTATACAGGCCAATGGTACTGCTAAAAGTTGTGTTATAATCAAAGAAATAAACAAGTGTACAGGTCAACCCACCATGTAAGTGTAGATCACTCTAGAATGAACCGATGGCTAGACAGACTATAATGGAGTAACTCTGTAAAGTTTGGGTCTTTTCATTCAAATCCTGCTGAGGGGCAGATCAGTATGACGAACTCACCCACTGACTCTGTACCTCCTGGCTTTTAGAGGTTAATCCTCTTACTTATCTGTTTGGGAAATTTAAAGCAGGATCTCTAAAATGAGATAAAAAGTCTCTGTAATGTCACTCAAGTGTAAGCAACATGATACTGGGAAGGTGGAAGGCTAAAGGTGATTCCTTGACAGGAGTCTCCGCAACGCATTTAATTTCTTCTTTCCAGATGACCTTTTCACTGTCCTTGCCACCATTATCGTAAACTCTAGTTACTTGGGCTGCAGGGCTGGTGTCCAGCCATATTCCCCCATATTTGAAGAAAGACTTGAATATATTAAATGGCACTGTGAATTTTATTTTAAAATATCCTCCATCTGTTTTATTTCTTAAATTCCACATAAAAATGAAATCATGTAATATTTGTCTTTCTCTGACTGACTTGTTTCACTAAGGGCCACCCTTGAGTTCCTTATCCTCTAGTTCCTTCCATGTTGTTGCAAATGGCAGGATTTCATTCTTTTTGATGGCTGAGCAATATTCCATTGTTTATATATACCACATCCTCTTTATCCATTTATCTGTCAATGGACACGTGGACTCTTTCCATAGTTTGGCTCTTGTGGACATTGCTGCTATAAACATTTGGGTGCATGTGCCCCTTCAGATCACTATGTTTGTATCATTTGGGTAAATACCTAATTGTGCAATTGCTGGGCCATATTTGTAACTTTTTGAGGAGCCTCCATACTGTTTTCCAGAGTAGCTACATCAGCTTGCATGCCCACCTACAGTGTAGGAGGGTTCCCCTTTCTCCACATGTTTGCCAACATCTGTTGTTTCCGGAGTTGTTAATTTTAGCCATCATGACAGGTATGAGGTGGCATCTCACTGTGGTTTTGATTTGTGTTTTCCAACAATGAGTGATATTGAGCATCTTTCACATGTCCGTTGGCCATCTGGATGTCTTCTTTGGAGAAATGTTTGTTCATGTCTTCTGCCCATTTCTTGATTGGAGTTTTTGTTTTTTGGCTGTTGAGCTGCGTAACTTCTTTATGGATTTTGGATGCTAACCCTTTATCTGATAAGACATTTTGTGAGTATCTTCTCCCATTCCATAGGTTGCCTTTCAGTTTTGTTGACTGTTTCCTTGCTGTGCAGAAGCTTCTTATCTTGATGAAGTCCTAAGAGTTCATTTTGCTTTTGTTTCTCTTGCCTTTGGAGACAAGTCTAAATCCTTAAGGAATTTCTGCAAATGTGCACTGACAGGAAGGTAACCTCTGCCCATCTGTAAATTATACCAGCATTCCTAAACATGTCACCCCAGAAGTGGTTCAGGGAAGTGCCAAAAAGTGAATCTTCAGCTCAGATCTCTCCTCTTCCAGCACTGATCCCCAGATCCTCAAGGCTACTGGGCCACCATTGTCTTTGAGTCATGACAGACTCTGAAGAGCTGCTCACTTTGGTTTCATGACCACACCCTCCCAACCATGAGACCCTTCATCCTCCCCAGGAGGTGGTCATCTTACATCAAGACCCACACATCTCCCCTCATCTCTTCTCTGACCCCCAGCCCAATGTTCCTGATGAAGACATGGTTTTTTAATAGAAGGCTGAAGCAGATACCAAAAGGGAGCAGATGCTTGGCAGAACCTGTCAGGGTCCTGTCCCTGGTTCCCCAAACATCCCTGAGGTTCTACACCACTGCCATGGAACTTGGACCTTTCCTAAATTCATAATAGCGAATGCTGAAACATTTCTTCTCAAAAGCATGGTCAGTGCCCCATAAAGACACATATATGGATGTTCATGGCAGCATAATTCATATAATCCCCAAATTGGAAAACTCAAATATCCATCACCCAGTGAATGCATTAAAAAAATGTGGTATATCCATACAGCGAAATATTACTCGATATTAAAAAGAAAAAAAAAAACTACAGATACATGCCTCAACATGAATGAACCACAGAAACATTATGCCAAGTGATAGACACCCGATGAAAAGGACTATATAGGGGCGCCTGGGTGGCTCAGTGGTATAAAATCTCCACCTTTGGCTCAGGGCATGATCCCAGGGTCCTGGGATTGAGCCTCGCATCAGGCTCTCTGCTCAGCAGGGAGACTGCTTCCTCCTCTCTCTCTCTCTGCCTGCCTCTCTGCCTACTTGTGATCTCTGTCTGTCAAATAAATAAAAAAACAAATAATCTTTAAAAAAAAGAAAAGGACTACATATTTTATGCTGCCATTCAAATCAAATGTCCAGGCAAGGAATAACTATAGACAGAAAGCAAATCAGAAATTGCCCAGGGCTGGGACAGGGGCGAGGTCTGATTGTAAAGGGGGCACAAGATAATTTTACACAGTAATGGAGATGTCCTAAAACTAGAGTTTGGTGCTATAGAATACTATACATTTACCAGAATCAGTGAAGTAGATAAATTTAATTATAGCAGGTAAATTTTATGTTATGTGAATTATACCTCAATAAAGCTGCTAAAAAAACGTTTTCCAGTGTGGTGTTTATTACTTAAAATAATAATTTTGGTCACTGAGGAAAAAAAATGGACTGAATAAAACTGGCTAAATTAAAAAAGTCTCCAATCGTGTTCAAGCCAATTCAGACTGTAACGTAAAGGATCCTACGTCTGAAGGCTGTCGACTTGATTACATGAGCTAGTCTGTGTAATTTAGGTAAAGCTCTTAGGTTTGCGTGTGCATGGCACTTAGAAGCCCTGGGAGGTCAATGTCATTATCCACACAGTTGTACCCCTTCAAGGGGCCATAGAACCTCTGTACAGCATGGCTCAGGACCATCTGCGGGCAGAGGGCAGCCTTCTCCCCCTGGTTTGGGTGCTCCTCCAGGCCTGTCTCTGCCCAGAACACATTTCACAACAGAAAGGAACAATATACTGATGCCCTTGACAACATGGTCTATGTGATTCCGTGTATAGAAAATTCTAGAAAGGCAAGCAAATAATCAGAGAAGGCAGATCAATGAGGGTCTGGATTCAGGGGAAGGGATCAATAGTAAAGGCACACAAGGAAACTGTACCTTGATACTTGGTGTGGCTACACAAGTGTGCACATTTACCAAAATGCAGCCAACTGTACCCTCAAAATGGGTGAATTTGATGGAATCCAAATAATACCTTCACACAATGCATTAGAAGTATTTTCAGCAGCTGCTTTGCTCATCTTGGTCACATCTTGAAACTTTCTCATTGTGATCGAGGTTACAATGCAATTCTCCTTCCTCGCCAATGTAGAGACATTTCATTTTGGTACTTGTTAATGGGGTTCGCCTGATCTGTCTTTTTTATGTTCTTGCTATTGCTGATTAATTAAACCTAAAACAATTGTTCAGAAAGGTTTCGGGATGATATTCTCCCCTGGAGCTGCTTGTGTCACACCATGCAGAGCCGTACGAGCCCCCCGCCTCCCAAGACACAGCCTAATAGAGATGTCAGCCTGCTTCGTGGGGAGGGTCCTGCGGGAGCACAGCATAGCTCTCCAGTGTCAGCAACACTAACCTTCAACAATGAAATTGGCAGTAAAATTAATTCCATTTACATTTTTTATTTCTTGCAATGTCATTAGTTTTATTCCCTTCAGTTTCAGCTGTCAGAAAAGGAGGTACAGACCCCTCATTTCACTTCTCAGTGGCAGTAACGCCTTCTGTGGTCTCCTAACAAGCTGAAATGTTTTTACCACTTTTTCCTGCGGGGAGGCAGTCTGACGGTGAATGCCTCACGCCCCACGCACCTTGGGACGTCTCCGAGCCTGTTTTCCCATCTATAAAGTGGGATAACATCTCCCGGCCAGTGAAGAAAATAAAAAAGCCCTGGGACATTAGGGTATTTGGTTCAGCTGTTCTACCTGGATCTCAATGTTATTTGAGGGGAGGAGGAAAAAAAATCCCCTCCCGCCATGTTGTATGATGCGATCACTGCGGTTTTAAGAGCAAGGCTTCAGAGAAGGGGTTGGCACGCTTTTCCTGTTAAGGGCCAGGTGAATCCGTA